AAGGAGATGGTGGTTGAAGGTATGGGTACCTTTTAATCAGATCTTCAACAAATGAGTTTAATCGGCATTTCCTTGATGGGTGGAATAAATTCCCCTCACTAGCATCCACACCGTTTTTATGCTATCCCCATTATTCAGGACGTCTACTGCTAAGTATTGCAATAATGCATGATTAGTACTTCAACCTCTCTTTCTCTCTCTTCTCGCTCTCTTTCTTCGCTGAAACCAACCTGCAACAAACCATTTGCTTGGTCATGAACCGACTGTGGTCGGTAGATGAGAGTGGCCGATCGATGTTGGTCCCATAATTTCCTTCACTGACTTGATCGGTTTCAGTTTGATAGGCAGTTCCAACCACTTGGCCCGATTAATTCACATTGGAAGTCATGCTTAAACATTGGCAGTGCATGTACAATAACCCTACCCCACTAAGGACAATATCCGGGAATTTGAGGTCACCTCCGATTATGTTGTTTGGTGGTCAAAGGTGCATCGCTTTGAATCAATGAAGTTAAAGATACTCTCAACTGTAGGCAAGTCGTCGTCGTTATCTCAGCCAAAATCTTTTAAGTCTCAAGGCATCAAAACTTTAGTTCATAATAAACTTATACATGGTAAAGCACACAAAGTTCATCCAGAAGTTGAAGGTAGTTCTACTTCTCCCGCACACTTTGTCGAAACATGCAACAATGCTGGGACGGAGGGTGACCACTTGGTGAAACAATTTGTTCGTTCCTTAAAAGGAAATGCGTTTGATTGGTATATAGACTTAGAGTGTGAGTCTCTTGACAGTTGGGATCAAATGGAGCGAGAATTCTTGAACATATTCTATAACACTCGTCGCACCGTGAGTATGCTGGAACTCACAAATACCAAGCAGTGGAAAGATGAACCCGTAGTCGATTACATCAATCGATGACGCTCGTTAAGCTTGGATTGCAAGGATAGGCTTTTGGAGATATCGACAGTTGAGATGTGCATTCAAGGGATGCAGCATAAAAAGGAAAAAGTTTTTGGGCAAAGATAGATAAGCCTATTAAGAAGCCTACTAAGGAAGCAATGACAATCAACACTATCCCTGTCAAAATCTCCACCCGAGATAAGAAGAGAGAAGTCAAAAGGATGGAGCCATCCCGAGAGGTGGATAGACGTCGACGCACCTTGAAGGAGTTGGAAGAAAAAACATACCCTTTCCCTGACTCTGATGTTGCAGGTACGCTTGAGGACTTGCTTGAAAAAAGAATGTTGGTTGCACTAGCTCAACAATAGGCACAACCAGTAGACAAATGAAATAATATGTTATATGTAAAGAATGAGATGCTAATTCTCATCTAACACATGTTGTTTGAATTCTCATTTAGAATAGTTCGTATATCAATGTCATATGATTTATGTTACCTTCAATTTATTTCAAAACAGAGCTGCAAACTTCTCTTCGTTGTCCCGTTAGACTGTTTTGTATCCAATTTTTCATCTGCATAGAATACATCGCGGACCGATATATCTCATAGCAGAAGAGAAGGGTTGTCAAGTGCAATGAGAAAAAAGGCTGTAATTGGGTTTAGTTCATAATTACGATGGATACATTTTAAAAAGTAAATTCATATACAAGCAATTTTATACTATGAAATTCAACATTCTTTGATCCACAGAATGTTGGCGGATCCCTATTGTTTGTTGTTGTATTTATGGGTTTAACCCATATTATTTGTTATAAATAAAATCCATTTTTTTATTCTTGCCCAATGGGCTAATAGTTGGAAATCGTTAAAATGGGAGGTATTGGAAAGAATTTAAATTTTCATTCCCCAATATTGCATGTATAAATAAAATAATTGAAGAAATAGCTCTAGCCCAATGGGCTAAAGTGGTATTTTGGCCCTAAACCCTAAAATGATATGACAAAAATGTATATTTAAAGGGTATAGCAGAACGGCTATACTTTCTAAATACATTCGAATATTTTAAAAGTATAGCCGAACGGCTATACTATTTAAATATTAATATATTCGAATATTTTAAGAGTATAGCCGTGCGGCTTTTAAATATCAACACAAAGCTTGCACTCGCAGTCACAGCCATTTCGCTTCTCTATCAAACTCAAGCTTCGATTGGTTTTCTTCGGTTTCGGCTGCTTCGTCCTCCGGGTTCGGCACCGAAAAAAGACCCAACCCGCCTAGGAGGCCCGCCCAGCCGCCTAGCCCCCTAGCGCCTGCCTAGCCGCCTAGCACCCACCTAGCCCAACATCGCCGGCTTGTTGCAGATTTTGACGGAGAAAAATCTGATAGCGGAGACAGGGTCGAGTTCCAGAGCCATAGAATTGGACCATATTCAGGAGGAGATTGAGGAGGTGTCTGCCGTTCCGGAAGTGGAGGAGAAGAAGAAGAGCAGAAATGCTTTGAGGAAGGGGTCGGAAGGTGAAGAGGTACGAGCTATCCAGGTCTACTTGCTTTTGAAAGGCGAGTTTTGATTTTTCGGGGTCTGTCATTCATTTCTTGTGTTTTGTTTATTATTTAGTGTTGTCTTTGAATTATAAAATGGTACTTTTAAATTTGGCAAATTGAAAACTGAGCAGCATACAGTTTATTACAACTTACAAGGGGGTATTAACTTTCTTTTTAGTATAGAAAGTTGTTAACTTTTGTTTATTTTCTATTTCTGTAACTGGGTTTGTGTGGTTCTTTCCTTTTCTAGTGTTCGCTTCGTTTTTTGATGTAATATTTGTGATTTCGACTTGTTCTAATATAATGTTCCTGTTATTTGACAGGAAACATTGCAAAAACTAGGATTTTACTTGGGTGAGGAAGACATGGAGTTTTCCAGCTTCTCAGGACTTGGCAAGTAAGTTTCAATTATCATTAGATGTTACTATGTATAATGCATGAAGAGTAAAATTTCAAAATCATCAAGTTGAACAAAAATTTCACAACGCGAAATATATATGTTAGTCAACTTGTAATATCTTGTTTGATAGGCCTCCTTAGACGCCCTTCAAGATGGCATAGTGACTGTAGAATTTCTTGAACAATTATAGATGGTGGCACAAATTGAGGGTCTGGATAACAAAGGGAGTACTCTGACTGCTACACAAAAGGTATAGCCTTCGTTAAGTGGAAGCCGTTGATGTTTTAAGTTTCAGTACCAATATATCATTCCTCACTTGGAACTAAACATAATGGTTTGGTAAGTCATTACTTGCATTCCTCAAGAGGAGCCAAAAACTCATTTGATGGTTCAATTTGAAGTGAACTAAGCCTTCATTTTCTTCAACCAGATTGTAAAGAATTGTAGCAAACAGTACTAAGTACCAACCAAGAAGCTCTGTTACTTTTGTATCCAATTTTTCATATGCATAGAATACATCGCAGACTGATATATCTCATAGCAGAAGAGAAGGGTTGTCAAGTGCAATGAGAAAAAAATGTTGTAATTGGGTTTAGTTCATAATTACGATGGATACATTTTAAAAAGTAAATTCCAATACAAGCAATTTTATACTATGTTTTCCATAAGCACTCACAAAAGTCTGCAGCCCAACAAAATCAAACTCGCTACTTCAATTGATTTTACAAACTAATTTCCTTATATTCTTATTTATATGCATTCAATTTGTACTGATGATTGATTTTATTATATATATATATATATTGATGAAAAATAAGATAAACTATTTATGAC